TGCTTTTAACTGTCAGGTGAAATGGGGTGGGGGGGGGTAAACCATGACATGACAGCAGAATATTTTTTAAATCTTCTGGGCAGCCACTGTAGGAGTTGTCCTGGCAGGTCTGTTCCCTTCTTCTCAGATCTCCTAACCTAAATACAAGTTGTGGGTGAATAGCATGGGGTGGGCAATGACAGACAGAAATGTTTCTCAGTGTTAGTAAGTGCACAGGCATTGTGGAAGGCAGTAAGGGGAGTCAGAAGGGTGCCCTCAGAAGAGGTCAGGTATTGCTGCAGAAAGAGCTTTAGACATTCCTGGAGAGTGGATGGGCTCACAGACCTGCAGCAGTGGTGGTGCTGATCATAGAGTGTGCTGCATACAGTTTTGTCAGGCTATGAAAATTAAATGCCCAGCTAAAAGTCATATTCTGAATTATATTGACAACCACTTGCAGTGTAGTATTTTCATCTGGTTTCAGTTTGTTGATTCCTAAAAAACTGACAGTGGAAGAGTATAGCTCGGGCCTTCCAGGTTTATGGTATATCCTCTAAGCTTCTGTTTCCCCAAGGTGATGAGAAACATGCCACAGAGCAGAGATGATAACTCAAGGGAGCAAGTGGCCTGCTGAAAGACTGTGACTTATTAAGGACTAAATGGCAGCTACCTCATACCACTTTCTCCTAAAACAACTCTCTGTCACTCCTTTCCTGTTTGTTACCTTGCTACTTTTCCCCTCACCTTCTCCTGTACTGGCTTGCCATAATGTTTGGGTTAGTGTCTTCTGTAGCAAACCCCAATAATTTAAGTAATCAATTAATTTTTAACTTAAAAATATAAGGTTTAGCTTTCCAAAACCCACACAGTGCATTGTTCCACAGGGATGAGAGAAGAAAATATTTGTATTTGCTGAATTAACATGCCTTACTTGTCATGTCATGTACTAATATTTGGTGAAATAGCATCACCGATGCATTAATATTTGTACACAGGTCCTCCTCCCATTTCTTCTTCCCTTGTAGGGTCTTGAGCAATCTGTTAAAATAGGTGATTAGCTGATTAAAACCTCTAGTGTAAAGCAAAGCATAAATGATAGTCAGAAGGCATATAAAAAACCAATCAAGGAACATCCCAACTCATCACTGGGGATTGGGAATTGAATGTTGTAGTAACAGTTTCCAGGAAAGCTGATTGTCATTGTAAACCCTTAACTTTCTAATTACTTAATTAGAAATAAGCAGTGAAAAGAATACAGCTGCAGCTATCTGAAGTCATTGCCCTGGAAGTATACTTTTTAAATGCAAAAAAGCCAGCATGCCCAAAGGGGTGGGGTAGTTGTCCTGTCTGCTTCTGTTGAAGTCAGGGAAGCTGGGAATACTGAAACAGGTTGAGGGTTTGTCCAGTGTGCTCCCTACTGTCTTTCTCCTGTGCTAAAGGTCTGAACATGGTGCACCTCTTCCCTTTGGAAACTGTGCAAGTCAGAAGAGAAATGGTTGACTTGTTTCAAATATTGCTACTCCCTGATCTGCCATGTGTATTTGGAGGGTCTTTTCTGGCAAAGTGGTGCACAGATCTTGCAAAAGGAGTCCAAGGAAATCCATATTACAGGCTGCAATCTAGCAGAGGATGAGCAGGAGTGGAAGCAGTCACCGTGAGCCCCCTGTACCCTATCTGACTTGGAAAGAAATGGTGGGCAGTGAGATGCAGGGAGGACCACAGCCCTAATCTGCAAACATACCTTGAAGCCTAACTTCTCGTTTTTCTAAGTGAGATGTTTCCTAAGGATGTATTAGAAGGCCAACCGTATCCTGGGCTGCATCAAGAGAAGCGTGTCCAGCAGGTCGAGTGAGGTGATTCTGCCCCTCTACTCCGCTCTTGTGAGGCCCCACCTGGAATACTGCGTCCAGTTCTGGAGCCCCCAACATAAGAAAGACATGGACCAGTTAGAACAAGTCCAGAGAAGGGCCACCAGGATGATGCGAGGGCTGGAGCACCTCTCCTATGAAGACAGGCTGAAGGAGTTGGGGCTGTTCAGCCTGAAAAAGAGAAGACTCCAGGGAGATCTTATAGCTGCCTTCCAATACCTGAAGGGGGCCTACAGGAAAGCTGGGGAGGGACTTTTCATAAGGGCTACTAATGACAAGACAAGGGGAAATGGGTTTAAACTGAAAGAGGGGAGATTTAGATTAGATATTAGGAAGAAGTTTTTCACTGTGAGGGTGGTGAGACACTGGAACAGGTTGCCCAAGGAAGTTGTGGATGCTCCTCCCTGGAAGTGTTTAAGGCCAGGCTGGATGAGGCTTTGAGCAACCTGGTCTAGTGGAAGGTGTCCCTGCTGATGGCAGGGGGGTTGGAACTGGATGATCTTTAAGGTCCCTTCCAATCCAAACCATTCTATGATTCTATGTTGGAAAGACCAAAACTAGGGTTCTTACTTGCCTCCAACACAACAGCAGCACTCTAGTTCTTCATTTTGCACTTTCCTTTTGTGTGTGTGTATGTGAAAAGGAGGTTTAATCATATTTTCCATTCTTTCTAAAGCATTTTGAGAGCCTCAGGGAAAAGTTCTAGGCAAGAGCAGTGCCATTACAGATAAGCTTCCAGATTATACACAGCTAGAGATGACAAAAATAGCACACAACTGGGACCACAGCAAGGAGTGGGGTAAGGAATGGCCAGGGAAGGACAGGGAAGTCTCTGGGGTTTAATAGCTGAGTAGGAAGAGATGTCAAGAGTTCTGATCACCCACCATAATTAACTCCCAAGAAGCACACAAGAATCATCACAGATCTTGCAAGGTATAACAAACAAGATGTAATTATTAAGTAGGATGATTCACTCTTAAAAATTATTATTAATCATGCTATGAACTGTGATGAGGATGAGCAGATATAAGCTATTAATTGCTATGTGGTAGTTAATTAATATATCCTCAGGTTGTGATAGACCTAATTTAAAAAAATTATATTCATTTCAGCAAGATTAATTTAAGAATGAGATCCTACTGAGCAAAGGCATTAAAATTCTGCCTGCCAAAAGCCTGTTAGTTAGTTCTGGTCCTGGATAAATTTGATCAGTGGAAGCTGATGGTATTCATCTGATGGAGCTTACCATAAAAATTCTTTTAGAGGTGACCTGGTTTTGTAGCCTGCTGATAGTCTGATGATGCTGAAGGAAACAGAAGTGTTTCTGTTGCCTGCAATATGAGAGACTGAGGCCTTTAGATCAGCGACTCAAAATGAATTAACACCAGTTTATATATTACAGTACTCCAGAAACATAACATCTTAACATTTCTTTCTACCTGTAAAGTTCTTCTTACAAAAGTTGTAGAAACAACTATTTTTTTCTCATGTAGTTGATATCAAGAACTTGGGTAAGGAAGCATCGCTCCGTACAATGGAAGCTCAGTAGCCTGCCTTGGCTCTGCTCTGTAGTGTGACAAATACAGTCATTCTTCTCGTCCCTGCCTGAGCAGTAGCACTGCTTTAAAACACGGCCTGGACAGTGAAAACTAAATGCATTTTCCTACACAGAACCGAGCTATGACAAAATGTGAGATAATGCAGACTTGACCAGAGCAAGGAACTGTAAAGACTGGCTTTTAGAGTGATGCCATCTTATTTCTGTAGTGTAGTTTGGAAGTGCTGTAGTTTCATGTGTATTGCTAAGAGGTTATTTATGATGAAAAGCCCACAGTTTAGCAGCAGTGCAGGCTAGATACATGCAGTAGCATGAGAGGAAGTTTATTCTTGGAGTCCCTCTGCCTGTACCTCTCCTCTACCCCTCAAGCTCCTCAAATGTCAGTTTTTTTCTCTCTCTGCCCATAGCTCGTCTGTATCTGCTTCTAATAATGTGGGGATCATTCTAGAGTTATATGAAGTTTGACTTTTAAGTACCCAAACTTTTGAAAAGGTATTGTCTGAAATACAGGCTTTACAGCTGGAATATGGTGTAGAAAGCTCAGAATCAGATTGCTTTTGAGCAATCTGAGTCAGGAGTTGGCAGTAGTGTCAGCTCTAGCTGACTTGCCCCAAAGTTCTCAGATTTGTGCTGTCATCTTGATACCCGTTTCAACAGTCTCTATCTGCATTACATACAAGCAGACAAACATACCATTTAATTCCAGGTTTACAATAACTTTATTAAAATTCACAACCTTCTGTTAGTAGAATTTATTAATTTAAAAAATAGAAGACATTTACATATACACAGCTCTCTAGGGCAGGGACTTCATATGAGTTTGTGAAATACAGATTTCAGACATGGTTTGTTGTTGCTTATTCAGAGAAAAGCAAAAGAAAAAGTAAACCAGTTGTTTCAAGTTTGTCTTACACAAGAGTGAAACTGAAGTAACTTCACAGAAGTCAGTGGGTAGGATAAGTCTTCACCAGTACAAGGTTGAATAGGGTTATATTCATAGAGTTACACCGAATTACTCCAGGTCATCCCTTGGTGAGAGTATCTGTACATCATTGTAGACTGAGCTAAGAGTGTAATACTGTCTGCAAAAATCGAAGGCCCAAGGATAATCTGAATACTGTGCTGATAAGGTGATAGCCTGAACCATGTACCATTAGTACTTATAGATTATATAGGTATGTATAACCATTAAATTGTATAGCACCTTCTCAAACCCAGCACTCAATGCAGAACATTCTGACCTCCATCAGAATGGAGGTATACAGGCATCCAGCTCTGTGGGAGGTCATTTTATTCCCTACAGTATGCAAAACTATCTGCCATTCATCCTTAAATGCCATACTGGTCAGGACAGTAAGGATGAGAAGATATCTACATTCAGTTTTAAGTAAATATTAGCAAGTGTTTCAGAAAATAAACGGTGTAACAGAGTCCAGCTGTAAAACCAAGAAGTTGGCAGATGTTCAACCAATGATGAACAGATTCTGGTGAGTTTGTATTTGTTCAGAATTTTTATTGCCAATCAATAAATAGGAATTAAAAGCAGATTCTAAGGGTTTCTGCCCTGTTATATGCAGCACTGATGATGATTCCATTTAGTTGGCCTTAGATGCTTTCTTGGGACAGGATTTTTTGGCTTTGGTGGTACGTTTTTGATCTATTTTCTTTATAGCAGCCTGCACCCATTTCTGATCAGGACTTGCGCAGATCTTGATACCTTTTGTGGTGGTAAACCTATAGGAGGAAAGCAAGCAAACCAGGTGGCCATTAAATTCCAGTTTCCAAACCCAGCTTTACTGTTCTTGGTTTTTATGCAGAACATGTGGAACAATGTGATAAAGCCATATCATGTTCTGGAGTTTGTTGATGTTAGCAACATTAGTTTGTTATTTATGGCATAGGCAGTTTGTAACATACACGGTCATGTGTGTATATACTGACATTTTAAAAAAGGAGCATACCTGGTATTCTGAGATTTTCTATGAAATCATGATGCACATTTACCTCCCAGGAGCAGATCCCAGATTTGATAAAAGTACATGCTGGTGGGATCAAAACACCAAATACAGCTCCTAGAAGGAGTCAGTGTTACCCCAAACTCTTCCACATGATCCTTCACCTTGGCTCAATTCACTGGACTGGGCTCTTTACTGCTCCACCCTGACCCCTCACTGAGATTTTTCCCCACTTTTTGGGCACAAAGTATCTGGCCATTCAGTGAGATTTCTGACAGTGTTTGTGAGCAGCTCACATCTCCCAGCTCTCTTGAGGCCCACCACTATCCCCTCACTCCCTCAGCTGTCAGGTGACTACTTTATGGGCAAACTGAAAGCATGACCTGAACTAGCCAGATTTAGTGAGCTGGGCTCTGAAGTGTCTTCTGATGCCCTTTCCCTCTTTGATGGTAGCATGTTTGCATAGAGGAGTCTGAAGGTGAACTGTACACTGGATACTTACCTGATGGCATCTACTGGAACTTGTTGCTTTTCATAGCTGACAAGGTTTCGGATGTTTGGTTGCTGTGTAGACAGACTTACACAACTGGATTTGCGCATGGTCTGACTTGCAATGCTCCCTAGAAGGGGAAGAATAGGTAAATGGCAAAAGCAGTCAGTACTATATTCATATATAGCCATAATTACTTTATTATGAATTCCAGGAGACTTCCAGTTGTGGTTAGAACATGAGTGCCTGATGATGTACAGCCACAATACCAGTTCTAGAAGAGAGCTTAAGGTATTTGTTGTGTTATAATAAGTGTTATTTCTACTTCAGTTAAGATACTTATCTTCACCCGTTCTCCTGAACAGTTGTATAATCATTCTGGGCCAATGGGAGTCACTGCTTCCACAGCAAAAATGGTATTCGGCATCATTCATAATTAGATCTGTATCATCTGCAATAAGTGTTCTTGTGGAGTAGTGCTTAGAACCAGCACCTTTAGTGGATGGATTTCCAAACGTCATCGGAATGTGGATCAGTGATTTCCCCAACTTTCCAAGTGAAGGAAGGGAGAGCAAGGCTACTTGTCTCATACTGCACGTACAAAACTAGCGTTAAGAAACAATGGTTGAAAGAAAGAGAGATATATCTGCTAGAAGACTAAGTACTTGTATACTCTTGCTGTAAATCTGGTTTCATAGGCAAGAGAGTGCTACTTAATCCTCTTTCCTCCAACATTTTAATACATTTAAAGGAAATGCATTGGTGATTAATACTGTGATATCAGTATAAAATTCTCTGGGCAGTTACTACCTTACATGATGATAACTAAAAATGGGAGCTCATTTAAGTGAGATGGAATATATGTACACATTACTGGCAGCCTCTGCTTGCTAGTTTCTGGTTTTCTCCCACCCATCAAAAACAACTTTGGGAAGGCATGAGGGGGACAAACAGAACACTGCTGTATTCTGAGGTTTCCTTTGAAAGAATTTATAGAGAAACTGGCTTGGAAAAAGTCCTAGAGCTATTCAGGTAAATATAAATAATATATGCTAAATATAAATCCTGCTTCACATAATCTCATTATCTGTGAGTTTTTCTTTGTTTGAAATACTTGGAAAACACACATCAGCCTTTGGAGAAGCTGTAGCATAGCCAGTGCTGGGGTACTGGCAGAGTAGCTAATTCTTGAGATTTTGTTTGCATGAAGGAGCATCTCTTCTGATCTTGCTTTAGTTACAAATAAGGAGATGTATTTTTTGATGATTCTTTACAAATGTCTGTCTTACTGCCTCACTCTGATTGGTTTTCAAAATGTGGCATTAAAGAGCTCGAAGACAGTCAAGCAATCCTTACTAGTTATAGAATCACAGAATGGTTTGGGTTGGAAGGGACCTTTCAAGGTCATCTAGTCCAACCCCCCTGCAGTGAGCAGGGACATCTTCCACTAGGTCAGGTAGTTCTGGAAATACTCTCTCTACTACTAAACTATCTCCAGGGAATGCATGCAGAGAATTACCAGCAAAGCTCCTCTAAGCCTGGGAACAAAAGCAAACTCCTCTGCACCTATAACTACCCTTTTTTCTGGTGGTTTTTTTTTTTCCTTCTCATTCTTCTTTCTCATCCTTTTTCTATCCCTTGCACACCACCTCAGTGTGCTTTTTCAGACTTGATGATATTTATGGCAAATTATACAACTTGGAGAATGACATTATAAACTGTCAGTCTGGTACAAAGCCGCATGTTGCCGAGATGAACGGTAGTAGCGTTAATCAGTGTGCAGTAGTGTAGCATGATCTCGCTGTGTGGGCACTAGGTCAATGCACTCGGTGTGTAGCTGCATAATCTTGTGAATGCTTAGCAGGTCTCAGTTTGGTTTTGGTGTGGTTTTGTGAAGATGCCTTTTCTTTGTGTTTCTCTCTGCATATTTTTGTGGGTTTGCATATGGCTCACATACGAGTGTTTTCTCTGATTTTTATGTGCTTGTTTGTGTGAATCTGATTGTGTATAAGATGACCTGTGCTTATGTGTGTATGTTCGTGTTTTTGCATGATACGTGTAGCCTGATCCAGAAGTCACAGACCTAAACATCACTGTAGACAAACTTATTTAAAGCATAGCTCATAAACATGGCTCATCTCAGTGCCCATAAGTGGTCTCAAACAATATGTTAAATTGTATCAAATCAGGGAGAGAATAAATTGTAAAAATCCATTGCTCTCCTTTGAAGTTTTTGTTCATTATTTGCCTGTCGGTACTAAAATATCTGTCTAGAAACAGGCAAATAGGCAGTATGTGATATAGAACTGGAATAACTTTTAAAAATAGGGACGTTAGAGGATTATGGCTATATAGTTAGAGAAAGACAAATAAAAAACAATATAATAAAAATACATCTACAAGTAGTATATCTGGAAAAAGAAAAAAGTACATCTCATTCAAGAAATATTTTTAATAAAATGTTATTATCGTATAGAATTCATTGCTATATGGCATCAGTGAGATTAAAAGACATTGTGTCTTCAAGATTTCATTATTTTAAGAGAGACTAATGCACAGAAACCCTTTGAGTGTTCTAAGGCACAGAAACTCTCTTTGCGTGGCACCTGAAGCCAACCACTAATTGACAGGACATCAGATGAAATCTCCCATAAAGCTGCCTTTCTGCTCGTTCTGATCTGGATTTCTAGTGAGTTTTATCTTATCAGCTCTGTCTGAGAATGAATCCTGTTCATGAGACCAGTGGTACAATGTGGAGCAATTCCCATCTTCCTCTTGAGTTGTAAGCTTACCTTTCACCGTGTGCACAGTGAAGACGCCAAGGCAGATGATGAGGATAGCTGCAGCATGGAGTTTCATTGCTGGTGGCTTCTTTGTCAAGGCAGAGAAGAAAGTGACTATTGTCAGCCCTCTTTCACAGAGTTTATATACTGCCATTCAGTGGTCAGTTCTTGAGTTTGCCTTTGGGGTGTCATGGGGGGGCTGAGTATAAGTGGAAAAAATTGAGTGGCAGAACTTTTTCTGGTGACAGAGAACCACCTCCTTTCCCACACCCGTCCTTCGCTAGCCCCCCTGTGAAAGCTTTTCCTGCTCAAACCCTGCTGTGGTTGCACTTGCTTCTGTGTTGCAAGTAGGGTTTATTTCAAGCTGCAAAAAGTGAGAGCTCTTGTTCTGTGGTGGAAATGTTTAATAAATGTTCCTGTCCTTTCGCACCTCGATTTAGAGAGCTGTAGCGAAGCCACACCGCAGAGGCACAGAGTGACATTCAGAGTTACCTCTTTGACCAATGGGCCACTTAAAAAGGGAACTATGAGCTAAAGGATGATGGAAACAGGAGCACCTTGGCTTTTTCCATGGTGGCTGTAGATAGTTGGTCACTTCAGTGCATAGCTTTGGAAGGGTGTCATTCCTGTTTCCTGTGTGTGGTGGAGCTTGTCAAAACTCTTCAGTTTTCTCTGTGATTTGATATCATCAAAGCAGATATCGCTATGTACTGGGAGAAGGAAGAGTGAACACACTTTTACATAGAGAGCCAGATCCACTACCCTCCTGCCAGTCAGGCCTAAGTAAAATACAGTGGTTTCAAAGGGGAATCAGAGTTTATAAAGTTTTTGGTTTGTTGTTTTTTGGTTTTTTTCTATGATCTTTCTAGTGTAAAGAATGGAGCCTAAGAAAGTAACCAGGCAATCAGAAAGGCACAATTTATGGGGAAAAAAGAAAAAAGTTAATTGTATTTCCATGGAAATATGGTGTTGGTCTGACAACTTGTTCCAACTGTCCCTCTGTGTCCCTTTTTGTGATCTATGCTGACCAGAGAACCACAGAATGGTTTGGGTTGGAAGGGACCTTAAAAGATCATCTAGTTCAACCCCGCTGCCATCAGCAGGGACACCTTCCACCAGAACAGGTTGCTCAAAGCCTCATCCATCCTGGCCTTGAACACTTCCAGGGAGGGGGCATCCACAGCTTCTCTGGGTAACCTGTTCCAGTGTCTCACCACCCTTACAGGAAAGAATTTCTTCCTAATATTTCATCTAAACCTACCCTCTTCCAGTTTGAAGCCATTACCCCTCATCCTGTCACTACCTGCCCTTGTAAAAAGTCCCTCCACAGCTTTCTTGTAGGCCCTTCAGGTACTGGAAGGCCGCTATAAGGTCTCGCTGGAGCCTTCTCCAGTCCTATTACCCAGTTTTAGGTGTCCTTTCAATGTTGTTGTAAGGTGATCTGAGTTACTGGACAGCGTTGCTACGTGGCAGTGGTTTTGTGCCTGCAAATATTTGCCAAGCAAGCTGTGGACCTCCAGGCCATACACAAAGCAGCACCTGGGCTGACATCATCATCCAGAGCCCCTGAGCAAAAATCGTCTCTTGTGCTTTACACTCTGGAACACTCCTATTCCTGGTAGGAAAAGCCATGCTTTGCTAGGCCCATGGAGACCCAGCTGGGGCTGGTGTGAAGACGGAAGCACCAGCCTGCCTGATGCCTGAGGTTGGAGGCAGTGGTGTAGAACAACTGTCCATGCAAAGCCTGGAGCAAGTGTCCATTTGTGCAAGCCTGAAGCTTCCCCTGCTCTTACCTACAGGCCTCACCTCAGCTGGTTACTTCCAGTTTTCCAAGTGCTTGATAACCTCAATGTAAATTGCTTTGCATGGGGAAAACAGCGTGTGGAAGTCAATTCTCTAAGATTCCTCAGGCAAATGAAGATTGAGCTAAGAACTGAGCTCAAATACTTGACTCCTAGGCTGTAATGGCTGGTTTGTAACTTCAGGAGCAAGTCTGTAGGTCTTGCAGGTAGAGAACGTGCTGCTTGATTTACTTGTATATGCACACACGTTCTTTGTTCCTTTTAGCTTGATTCTTTCATCTTGCATATGCCATCAGCCCAGGGGAAAGCAATGGCAGAAGTAGACAGTAAGCAGGTGTAAAGTACTTGCTGCTTTACTTGAACGCCTGCTAAACCCACTTGCAACACTAATGTAAGTGGCAACAAAATGGAAGCCAAAGCTTCAACCAAAGGCCCCAAAGGACGTGCCTGGTGCCACACAAGGGAGTAACCATAGTGACCTCAGCAGGGCTACTGGGAAATCTGATGTTAAGTGTGTGTCCGAGCAGTGTAGCAGCTTGGTGTTTTGCTGAACACTGCCTGAAATCAGTCCTTGAATGAGATACTCTAACTTTTTGGTTCTTGGCAGCTTTGGGATGCAACTTTGTCATTGAAAGTAAAGAGTCATTTTCTCCCCATTAAGAGAAGAGATGCTCCCCTGTTTCTGCTTACTGATATGGTGTGAACATGTATGATTCTACTCAGTCTATAGCTTTGAGAGGAAGGGTCATGAGCTGTGTTGAGCATGAACCAGCTCAGAAAAAGACAGTGCTTCCCTCACAGCCTTCTGCAGATTGTCGGTTCATCCCTGAGGTGGTGTTAGAAAGCCTGTTGCTTCTTCAGTTTTCCACCATTCTTAAGGTGGGATGGAAAAATTGCCCTGTGGCAAGTTTTTGCCTTTGTAGTTCTCATTTGCTATGGTCTCCTGGACTGTCGTTCTGTGTAGCGGGCTTATGTCCAGTGAAGTCTGTGTTTGGTTGAACAGCTTTGTGGGCTGGAGTCCCACAGCCCTGTTTGCAGATATTTGGTGATCTCTGGTGTTCTAATGTTGTATAAGGCTCATTTTGCACGTACTCTAACATCAGCATGTGCTGCCTCTGTGCTGTGGCAAAAGCTTAGTGCAAGGTGATCAGATGTATGGTCTTTCTGTTTTCTTGCTGGTAAGTCATATTAAAAAGATGGCTTTTAAGTGCCCAAAGTACTTTTCCCATTAGTGCTTCTCAGCTCTGGCCAAGTTGAATGCTAATGATACTTGTCCTGGGGCTTGATTGCCTCTTGTATGGCTCATTTGCAGCTTGTGATACAGCCACAGACAAAACAGTGTGATTATGGAGTTCTCTAATAGTTTGTAATGTCTGCATTGTACATAAAGATTGCTAACTTTACCACGATGCTTCCCAAACCCTTGGCTACAGGTATGATGCTGTGTGCACCATGAGAGCTGCCCCTTCTCCTCCTCTTCTCATGTTTAACACACGCGGTCTTTGCTGAGAGAAAGCAGGTGCAGACGGTGGATGTTGCAGGTATGGATGTGTAGATGTATCAGGATTTAACCTTTGGAGCTTGCTCGTGTGCAGAAAATGACAGGCTTTGAGTTAGTCTCCTAGGCTTCCTGTACAGCATGGGGAGAAGCTGGGACACACAGCAACAGCAGATACTGCTTGAGGAGTTCAAGGGCTGTCCTAAGCCCTTCAGCCCCCGTTGATGCAGAGCAGCCTGCCTCCGTTTTACTGGGAGCACAGAGTGGTGAAGGGACACATGAGACTGCTGCCACACAGCAGGAGGCAAAGTCAAGGCCTGCTCTAGCAGGTTCTTGACCAGCTGAGGATGCAATAGTTTTCTTAATTTTTAACAAGGTCAAGAAATTTATACTGAAATAATTGTTGTATGTACCCTGTTTCATGTCAGGTATACCTGCTGAAGGAAAAGAAATATGCAGTAAGCAAAGTGTTGGGCCTAATATCAGAGTTTACTTACCAGGGTTAGAAAGTCTGAACTATTGCTTCTTCTCTAACTGTGGTTAGCTTTCAGAAAAGAGATGGCAAGATCTTCACAGATAAGTAAATTATTTTGCACTCGTTAAATTCTTTAGCATCTTTAGTGAATGTTCAGCAGCCCTTTGAAAGCAGGTCACTATCACTTTTGAAGAGTAAATCAGGGCATTCAGTGACATTAAGAGGGCACCTAAGAACCTCAGCTTAGACACATCTGTGTCTCAAACAACTGGTTTTAGGGTAGGAGATATCACCCTCAGGAGGTACATGTCTGTCTCTATTATCTACCGAAGCAATACATGTATGTTTCTTATGCTGGACACGGTAAGTGAGTGAAGTTGGATGGGATAAATCTGACCCTGATGTATTTTGATTTTGCATTGTTTCTTAACAGTTGGAGTACTGGTTTAAGAATTACCAGCAGGTGACATCCAGCTATGATATTTATGTGACTTTCCTTCTGTAAATTTCATGCTGCTTTCATAGGTACATCTGGCATTTAATTTCACTTTCTTATTGAAACTGCTGTTGTCTTTCTATTTGTGCCTTCCCACCAGGTTTCTTAGATCCTGCTCCATAGGTCAGCATAGCTTAAACTGTTTACTTTTAAACTCACATCTGAATTCATGCCTGCTAAGCAGTACAAACTAGATGTATAATAAAGACTCACTGTAGTCAGTATCCCACTTTAGTAGCTGTTTAGTTGTTTAGTTAGATGAGTGCATTGAAGTATGTTCAGATAACAGCTGGTGACAGAATTAGTGTGATTTAGGAAGTTTCTGTCTGTCACCTGGAAATAGCAGTTTATTGGATGATGGAATAGAAACACACACAGTTTTGGTACTCACATGTCAGCTGAGAGACAATTACTTTTAATCTAATTTGATCACTTAAATCACATTTTTAATGTCTACTCTGTTTTGTGCTGGTTTTGGCAGGACTCCTCCTTTAGAAATGTAACCCTATTAACAATACTTTCTCTTGCTTGTAGACCATCTGTTTCCACTACCATACTGCCAGCTTCTCCCTGCCAGCTTTTCCCTGGTCCTGCTAATATGTGCTTGATGTATCATGTGCTTTTAAGTTAATTGTACCAATATCTTTCTTTCAGTCATCTAACTTGAAGTATTTAGATACATAAAATTAAACTGAGAATGATTTGGTTTGAAAGGGAAGTTGAACTAAACCTACAAAGCCCACTCTCCAGTCAGCTCTCCAGTCATGCAGGCATGAACTTGTTTGCTAGAACAAGTCCAGAGGAG